CACAAAATAACGGTTTTCCCCAAATGAAAGAGATTTTGTCATCTTTGCCATCTTAATATTTCTGCAACTGCTTTGAACACGTGTGTGAAAGCCTTAAACTTCAATGATGGCAGTCAACATTATTTTCTATATATTTACCGAACTTAAGCTCTGGTAAGCTTGAGAGTTTATATAACTAAAATTTAGGGTTCGATTTCATCGGTGGGCACAAAAAATATAGCCTATTATGTAGTTTTATGCTGAAAACTAAACAATTCCAGTTAATAATTTTCTCGTGTTTTCCAGCTAATTGTATTTTTACCTTTGTTAGTTGTGTAAAGACATTCATTGAACATATCTGTATGATTTTTATACTAGAAGTATTTTCTTTAGAAATTATTCCTATCTAGTTTTTTATTCGCAAGTCTTCACCGAACAGAACAGTGTCTAATAGTTTTCATGCCGAATATTTCTTACTGAGGTCAATAAACTGTCTGCCTTCAACATGAATATAAAACATTTACTCAGTATAGTTGATAAAGAAAGGAGAAATTGTGATTTTTGTCAAAAATATTTATATTATCTGAGTTATCTCTTTTTTTTCATACTCTGGCCTTACATTTACTTCTTAGCCAGTTAAATTATGTTCTTTTATTTAGTCTCTACAAAAGCCGTTTCTCAATTTCTATTGAAAAACATTGTAACGAACTCATTTTCTCTTCATAAAGATGTGCTATTTATATGTCTGATTTTTTTATTGGGTGTGGCTCACGATAATTCTAGATCATTTAAGAGATAAACTTAGTGTAGCAAAGTGTCAGACGTTCCGTTTGAGCTGGCTCTTTGTGTGTTGTAGTTTTAATTCTCCTAAGCATATACTGAATAATAAAGCATACAAAACGAATGGGCACTGAAAATCTAAAGGTTTATTGATAACACTTGTTAAAGATATTTGCAATTTTATGAAAGAAAATTTAATGTTAAAACTAAATTAAATTTAAGACACAACAGTTTCTTTCATATGATTACATGTTATTTCAGAGGAGCAGCAGTAAGACAGTCACTGTGATAAGTTCTGGGGTAGACGGTTCATTCTTTCTTCTCCTCTTTCTCCTCCTTCTTCAGTTCAACGTATGGGTGTAAACCATAGCCATAGTGATAAGGAAATCCAAAGTAGTTGTATGGGGTGTAAGTGAGGGTACTAACGGCAGGAACGATGTATTTGGTTGGCTGTTTCCAATCCACACGACTGTAACGTGATACAGGGTAAGTATAACCGTAGTGAAGAGCGGGAACGATCAGCTGAGCAGAGCAGACTGCTACTAGCAAGGCGAACACAACCTGAAAAAAAAAGACAATTTTCACCAAAAATCAAAATCTTTATTAGAATTATACAAATTTATTTGTCTCTTCTCCCCATGCGTGTTAGTCAGTAGATAACTGGAGATCACTCATTTGAAATGACTGACTAAATATATATTACACTTAACATTAAAAAAAGAAGCACAAGTGAAGGAAATATCTCATGCACAAAATCTTTACGTGCAAGCAGATACGTGTTTCATTTAACTGTTCACTCGACACAAAATAAACATTTGCTTGTTTCGTGTTAAGCACAAAGTTGCGCCCATCACGGGCATTGAAACCCGGTTTTTAAAGTTATAAGTCCGTAGTTTTTACCGTTGAGCTCAATTTAGGTTCAAGATGACAAGTAAAAAATACTCACCAACTTGTACATTTTTAAGAAGATCTGAACCAGTTATCTCAGAGTAGCAACTGAGTCGAGTGAGGAGCAAAGGCAGATGGCAGCTATTTATACCCATCGCAAAGTACCCGCCCCACTTACCCTTTCGGATAAGCAATCCAATCAACAGATTTGGCCTTTTGGAAAAAATATGTCGGTCGTTTCGGAATTTCCCGGAGGTAAAAGGACGTTGCAGTGTAAGGTAAGCACAAAATTAGATTCTAGCGCTTCTTAAATGTCATTTGATAGATGTCGAATTTTCTTCATTGTAAATTTAGGACAAGACCTTGCAGAAGGTGAAATGGACCAAGCCTTAATGATAATTCGATAGCAAATGTAAAAGAAAATGTTAGAGTAATTTTACTGGAAGTTCACAAGTTAGGTCAAAATAACATATTTTCGAATGTCATTCAAGTGGATATTAATTATTATGAAATTTTAAAAACAGTTGCCTTAATTTCAAATTTGTACAGCCTTGAAAAAGAAACTTAAAATATGTTGTTAGTAAACTTTTAAGCGTCAGCTTCATGTTTTGGTGGATATGCTTACTAAAGATTTTTGAAGAAATAGAAATATAACTATTATTATTATTATATAAGGCACTTAAACATTCTCATTAATGCAAAAAGTCTGATGTAAGTTCGAGATTGAAGGGAAAAGAATCATCTTTAAGTAAGTAAAATTTAGTGATCCAAAAAAAATAAAGAAACAGAAAATAAAGGACATTTTCATATATGTTGATTTTATAGTATCGAACAGGAATATATTAATAAATTAATAGTCTTGCTTACCAGCATCTAGAAAGACGGTGAAACGGAACAGCAGTGTTAGGCCCGATTACTGTTAAGCAAAATATCTAACTTTACTGTCTTAAAAATATATATTAAATTAAGTTATGTCATATTATATTAAATAAGTATCATCTATCTTACTTAATTAAGCTTCTATAGTTTTGTTCCCAGTGATGGACTTTAGTTCAAAATATTAATGATTTTCTTAATTTCTTACAAATATCCTAAATATTTCGAATCCTTTCGAAAATACAGTAATTAACTTCGACTAAATTACTTCGTTTGTGCAGCTGTTTACCAGTTTGTTGATGCTAGGCTGGATTTGCATGTTTTTTATCCCGTTGCTATATTGTCGAGCAATGATCAACAGTATTGATCTCCATTTGAACTGTTACATCGACTAAAAACATCATATGAAATTTAAGGAAGAGACCCAAACGTCCCCCAGCAAGTCAGCAATAGGTTTTCTGACGCAAAATGCTAAGATCTGGGATTTAGTTCCCCACAGTGGCCAGAGCGCAAGTAACTCATTTTGCAGTTTTGCGCGAAAATATACAAACAAGTCCCAAATTGAGTTCACATACGATGCATGATTTTGGAAATAGATAGTAATCCTAACTGTTTCTTCAGATAACACATGAATATTTTCGCCACTTATAGTTAAAGTCAGTTTGTTTAATTATGCACAAAGCTAGTCGAAGGTTATTTGGGCTCTCCGTCCCTAATTTTGAAGTGATAGCCTAAAGAGAAGCCAATTTCAATACTACACACCACAAACTCTTGGACTACTTTTTACCAAAGAATAGTGGGATATATCGTCACATTTTAATATTCCCACAGTTTAAAGGGCGGGAATGGTCGGTGACTGGTTTCGATCTCGCAATCCGTAGATTGTGAATCGAGCGCGCTGACCACAAGGCCTTGAAAATTTATATTTGAATTCAGCCAATGAGTGAAAACAAATTAACTGATGCTGGTAAATCATTATAATTTCATAAATTGTTATTTTATTTCTATTAATTGTGAAGTAATACTACATCCCTTGCATTCAAATCGCAATCAATATAATCAATGAAGATTCATAAAACAAAGTTATCCTTTATCGATCCCTTAACCCTAAATATAATTTTATGGACTCCATACTGATATTCAAGTAGATTTTAGCTTATTGCTCGACCTTATTCATAAACTGAAATACGATATACCAAACCTAAGCTTTAACCTGAAGTTAATTATAAGTTATGCGAAATTTCAATTCTAAGCTGAAATTTATTTTTAATTATAAATAAGATTTCACTGAGGATCACAAACCATACCTGAATTTTATCCTTAAAAATGTAATTCAGTTGGTGTCTGAAACTTTAACTCCCAATAACTTCTTAATTGCAACTGAATATTATAATAAAAAATCCTTAAATCTGAATTTCATATAATAGTGGATCCTAACACAAGTGAGTTTTATCTTTAAGACCATATTTTAGTATCAATTCTAAATTATAGTAAATCCTAAACTATAACATAATAAATGTATGTGTATTTTAGTTAAGTCCAACTAAACCGTATATTATAATTTAATCTAATCATTAAAAAGTACAATACATTTTGTGACTATAACTCGCAGTGGGTCATCAACTAAAGCTTGACTTTATCCCTAAAAGATGTAGTGAAATTTGAGTTTGAAGTTTAACTCACAAAAATCATAACTGAATTCAAAACTATAACTCGATGTTAATAAAGCTTCGAAAGCGGAAGCATTGCGAATAATTTGTTTAGGAATTTTAAAGCCATAACAGGTGGATAAGGCGCTCGACTCACAATCTTAGGGTCGCGGGTTTGAATCCCCGTCCCACCAAACATGCTCGCCCTTTCAGCCGTGGGGGTGTTATAATGTGACGGTCAATCCCACTATTCGTTGGTAAAAGAGTAGCCCAAGAGTTGGCGGTGGGTGCTGATGACTAGCTGCCTTCCCTCTAGTCTTACACTGCTAAATTAGGGACGGCTAGCGCAGATAGCCCTCGTGTAGCATTGCGCGAAATTCAAAAACAAACAAACAAACACAACTATCTAGCCTTTATCTTACAAACAATTATGATATTTGCCGGTAAACCGTAACGTTTACGTAAGCTATCTAATCTCGCTACACGGGAAGCCAAAAAGACGACTCTTGACAACTACACTTCAACTGTTTGTTCCTTTGTTTGTACTTAAGCACAAAGCTACACAATTGGCTATCTGTGCTCTGCCCGCCTCGTGTATCGAAACCCGGTTTCTAGCTCACTTTAACTTCGACTGGGGTCACTTTAACTGAGAACAAGTAAAAAACACAAGAAGAAACTTGTCAAACATTGCCTCGTATATTGAAGAAATCTCTCTCTCCATATATATATTGTTATAAATACAATAAAATATTAATAACTTAGACAAAGGTTGAATGAAATATACGACTAGAATAAGCAATAAACTTTAAAATTGCAGATACTTTGATTGAAATAAACATAATGCTTAAAAATTCCTACAAACAAATATATGTTCATAATTAATTATTTAGACAGAAAAATAGATTATTATGAAAGCTGCGATAGTTTTCATTAAACCGTATTATAAGAAGAAACTGCGCTTCTGCATAGCTCCACCTAGACCTTGACCTAATTATCTAGTGGTAGCAAGTAGGAACAGTTTTACTTTGAATTATTGCTTCTTGGTCATTGTACCTTTACAACATTGTGAGCGCACATTAAGTTAGCAAAAAAGTTACTCGTGTTTCCTTGAGAAGGACATATATAAAGCAGAAAAGGATATTACAAAACTATGAAAAATTATTCGTTATAAGAAAGACATCAACTTCTTTTACCTCTTACGTTTATGTTCCCCGAAGAGTCACGAACTTAAACACTATAATCCGGGAGTTGATCCCCCGCAGTGGACAAAGCACAAATAGTCCATTATGTAGCTTTGTACTAAAAAACAACTTACGTTTGCATTCAAATATACAATATAAATTGTTTTCAAAGCTATTTTACCAACTTAAAGTCATAGAATTAAAGATATATACTTCATTTTAATTTCTTGCTACCCATGTATTTTTATTTAAAAATAACAGAGATTATTGTTTCCATGCTGAATGAAAGATTTAAATTATATTTAATAAAATTCTATTCGACACTGATAGCAAAAACTTAGCTGGCAAGCAGTAGTTAAAATCGTCTGAAATGCCAGTAAATTGTAAGAGGATTAATTTAAACTTAGTCTTTCTTTAATAGTGATTCGGAGTTATGTTTCAGGGCTTATAAAAATAAAAATCATGGCTCGATACCTGTGGTAGCCACATCTAATATTGCTCATTGTGTACTTTTGCACTTAAATATAAAACAAATGAACAAAATTTTTCTGAATAATTTCAATATAGAAGTCATCTGTTGATAAGCAAATAAAAACTAAGGTAATGAACTTGGTTTAATACTCTTTTGTTGTTTTAAAGAAATGTTTTTCGGAAAAGTACAAATTCCTAGATACGAGTAAATATCAATATATATATATAATAGCCAAGTTTCGGTCGGTCACGCTCATTTTCTCAGAATTTCTTGAGTTACACTTTTTTCTCCTCTTTTGATTGCCCGTTCCCATGTTAGTTGAATTTAATCGCTAACATAGGCGTAAATAGCTCTTAAACTTCGGCCATTTTTCTGCTATATAAAAGTTTGTCAAGGAAGGAGTTCCCAGGACCAGATCAGGCATGGCGTTATGTGTGTGTGACACCACATCATCCACATCATTATGACGTCAAGCTAGGTAGGATCCGAATAGGAAACCCGGGAAGACTCCCGTGATCGAAGACACGAAAATGAATTCGCACTCTATCAACGCTTGTGAAAAATAAGTCAAAAATTAGTGCAAATCTACGTTTGGGAATTATTACGAAAAAAAACTTTGTCAAAACAGTCTGAAGATACCAATTATCTGTAGGAAAGAGGACGACTTTTCCTCAGAAGAAGAACAGGTGTGTATACAATCACATGATCATTGTATGTTATATTTTTTTGTCTGAAGTCACCAATGTGTAGCATATTTCTGGGAAGGGAAATTACAAATTTCTTTTGTGTATTGCCAGTTTTATACGGAGTAGTGGTGATTTCCAGTGGTTTCCCGTTATTTTTGGCGGGCTTTTACGATAGTATATATAAATACATATATATATATATATATATATATATATAATAATAAGCATTAAGAAGATTTTAGTAGAGTGTC